TTTGTTTTTTTTTTAATTTTTTTACAAAACGGGTAAGTTTTTTTATTAAAATTATGTTTTATTTGTTATTCATTCAGATGAAACGTGCATATATATTTAATGATTTCTTGTTTATTATTATTATTGGTGTTTGCTATTAAAACTCGTTGCTTAACTTAATGAAATTAGTTTGTAACAAATTCTCGGTTTTAACACACAATAATTTTTCATTTTTAATATTTAAAACTAATGACACACATACACGTTGTCTTCTTATGGGGGTACAAAAAAATGATAATAATAATAAATGTTTATAAGGAAGAAAATTATAAGATGGTCATCAATTCCCTTAACAAAACAAAAGAGAAAATATTGCTAAATAATATAATAACTAAAGGAAGTAAGAAACAAACATTGGTAGAAGAACGAAATCCTTTTTCCCATTTACTGTTAATAACTTCACTTCCCACCAAAGCCCATAAGATTCCCTAAGCCACCAAGACCACCAGCTGCACCCTGTTGTAATTGACGCATCATATTTTGTAGACCACCAACACCACCCATCTGTTGCAACATACGAGGATCAATCATTTTTGCCATCTGTTGATTAAGTTTAGCCATTTGATTGGGATTAACATTTTTCGTCATATCACCCTGTTTGAAAAGACCCTTAACACCACCCATTTTCTTGACAACGGCAGCGAATTTTGTATAGTGTGAAACGAGTTCCTTAACTTCACGTTCTATGACACCAGAGCCTTCGGCAACACGTACAATACGTGTCGGCTGTTTGCTAAACAATTTGGCACCGTCACGATTATCCAATTCACCGTCTGACATACTGTCCATCATGGTCATCATACGTTTAATGCGAGCCATAGACTCTTGTTCACCGCCTTTAGTCATAAAGTCTTGAGAGAAACCGGGTATCATACCCATGATCTGAGAGAAAGGTCCCATTTTCATAATGTTTTGGAATTGTTCGTACATGTCACGTATGGTAAATTGACCGTGTTTGATTTTCTCTAAAAGTTCTTCATTGCCGTCTAATTTTAATTCATTTACCTGAAAAGGAAGAAACAAAGAAATGTAATTTTATTTAATTTTAAAATTATAATAATAATTTTAATAAATTAAGGAATATTTCTAAGAAAATGTTAGACAAACTTTCTAAACGAAAATGTTTGAAGAACTTTTCAAAATTGTTCTAAAAACTCTTCTGTACAAAAATGTTCGAAAAACTTTTCTCTAAGATAATGCTCGAAAGACTTGACTTCAAAAGCTTTTCTATACCCACAAGTTGGAAAAACTTTTTTAACCAAACATTTATAAAAACTTTTCTGTACGAACCTGTTCAAAAGTTTCGTAAACTAGAATATTTAAAACATTTTCTATACGAAAGAATTCAAAAAATTTTCTATTATAAAATGTTCGAAAACTTTTCCATTCGAAAATGTTTGAAAACTTTTCTATTCGAAAATGTTTTATTTTGAAAAAAATATTCCTTAATATCTATTAAAATTTAAAAAATCAACAACACCCACCTTATCAATCAATCCTTCAATATCACCCATGCCCAACAGCTTGCTCACGAAAGGTTTAGTCTTGAACGGCTCCAAATCATCGATGTGTTCACCGGTACCAATGAAAATAATGGGAGAGTTTGTAGCAGCAACAGCTGACAAAGCACCACCACCCTTAGCGTGACCATCCAATTTGGTAATGATTACAGAACCAATGTCTACTTTCTCTTTGAAAGCCTTAGCTTGAGCCTCACAAGCCTGACCGATGGTGGCATCCATAACGAAAATAATATTATCGGGATTAACAGCATTTGCCACCGCCAACATCTCCTCGAAAAGAGACTCTTCTTGCTTGTGACGACCCGAGGTATCGACAATAATCATTTCGAAACCTTCTTTCTTAAACATATCAACACCTTCTTGTGCTATGACAACAGGATCAATTTCGGTGTAACTACCATAGAAGGGTATGCGAGCCTTAGTGGCATTCTGTTTGACTTGATCATAGGCACCAGCACGGAAGGTATCAGCGCACACCAAACAAGATTTCCAATTACGTTTCTGGTAGTGATAGGCCAACTTGGTACATGTTGTTGTTTTAACCCGAACCCTGTAGACCGACAAACATAATTACATTTGGTCTACCCTTAATAGGTTGGTATGGCTTAACTCCAGGATCTACCAACTTAATGAGTTCTTTAAAGACAGCACTCTGTATCATGCGTCTTTTGTTTAGGCCACCGGCCATTTCGTCAAAATCAATAACAGCCTTAACATTTTCACGCAACTGTTTGACCAAACGAATATTTACATCAGCTTCCAAAAGGGCAGCACAAATCTCTTTAAGCATGGAATTTAAGGCCTCTTCATTGATTACGGTGGCTTTGCTTAACGAATGCAAGGCAGTGGTAATTTTTCTACCCAAATCAGCTAAAACCATTTTGTAGCCGTTCTATCACAACAAACACTTCAATTATTGTTTTTAGTTTTTCAAAACTTCTTTTATTTAACTATTGATTTATGTTCACGTGTGTTTTTATTATGTTTTTTTCAACAAAGTTATTTGCAAAATACAAGGAACAAGAAAAAAAAACTTTTACTTTTTTCTTTCTTTCTCAATCAAACAACGTCGTATTTTGACACGTCGATGTGCCAATCAGAGTACAGAGTTAGTCGTTTCTAACACTAGTAACGTCGTCGACATGAGAACTGTCAAAGTGTTGAAAGAAAACATAACATAGAAATTTTACTAAATTTACTAACAATTATAAAATAGATAAGAATTATTTATTTTTATTAGTTAATTAATTTTTTCATTATTATTTTAAGTTTGTTTTCTTTAAATTGTTATAAATAAGAATACAACAAATGTTATCTAAGGTTGTAACGCCGTTGGTTGTTAAGTTTACTAACTATGACCACACTATCGAACATATGTATGTAGTTGAACATGTCTGTTTTAGTCTTGACAACCAATCATTTGAATTGTAAGGTTAGATAACCGTTAAATTTAATTTTGTTTGTTTACAAAGCATCAATCTTTTATTAATATGTTTTAATTATTTTTAAAAGTTTTTCATATACATACTTACATATATAATAAATATCATTAATGTATGTATTATCGTTCCGAAATTTTGGTACTTAATCAAAAACCGTGATCACTGACACTGTTTTAATGTAATTTTAAATTACGTTCAATTAAGGTGAACGTTGATCACTGGACCGCTATTTTTATATGACAATCGGACGTAGATCCTAAATTACCCTCCAATTGAGAAAATAATCAAAATCTGTGATAATTCATATTTAACATCATTAATCGTTTTTATATAAAAAATCTAAAATCGGCCATAGTTCCCTAAATAACGCTCCAATTGAGAAAATAACGAAAATCTGTGATCACTCATATTTTCCTTAAATAAAGCTCCGATTGAGAAAATACTGAAAATCGAGGATCACTCATTCATATAAGAATCGATTTTAGTAGGAAATATGAGTGATCGCAGATTTTCACTATTTCTTATTAGAACGTTATTTAAGGACTAAGGACCTATTGTAGATTTGTTCATATAAAAATCGATTTATAATGTGAAATATGAGTGATTGCAGATTTTCACTATTTTTTCAATTGTAGCGTTGTATAAGGATCTACGGCCGATTTAAGACTTTTCATAAAAAAATCGATTTCTATATGAGAAATCTAAAATCGGCCGCAGAACCTTAAATAACGCCCCATTTGGGAAAACAATAAAAATCTGCGATCACTTATACTTCACACTAAAAATAGATTTTTATATGAATTATCTAAAACAGTGGTAGTTCCTTAAATAACGTTCCCATTAGGAAAATAGTGAAATCCCACAAAAATCGATTTTTATATGAAAAATCTCAATATCGGCCGTAGATCCTTTAATAGCGCTCGAATTGAGAAAATAATGAAAATCTGTGACCACTAATTATTCCCACCAAAAATCAGATTGTATGAAAACTCCCAAATCGGCCGTTGTATCTATCTATCTATCTATCTATCTATCTATCTATCTATCTATCTATCTATCTATCTATCTATCTATCTATCTATCTATCTATCTCTCTCTCTCTCTCCTCTCTCTCTCTCTCTCTCTCTCTCTCTCTCTATCTATCTATCTATCTATCTATCTATCTATCTATCTATCTATCTATCTATCTATCTATCTATCTATCTATCTATCTATCTATCTATCTATCTATCTATCTATCTAATCTATCTATCTATCTATCTATCTATCTATCTATCTATCTATCTATCTATCTATCTATCTATCTATCTATCTATCTATCTATCTATCTATCTATCTATCTATCTATCTATCTATCTATCTATCTATCTATCTATCTATCTATCTATCTATCTATCTATCTATCTATCTATCTATCTATCTATCTATCTATCTATCTATCTATCTATCTATCTATCTATCTATCTATCTATCTATCTATCTATCTATCTATCTATCTATCTATCTATCTATCTATCTATCTATCTATCTATCTATCTATCTATCTATCTATCTATCTATCTATCTATCTATCTATCTATCTATCTATCTATCTATCTATCTATCTATCTATCTATCTATCTATCTATCTATCTATCTATCTATCTATCTATCTATCTATCTGTTCAAATACAACGGTTTTTTTTTGAAAAAAGTTGTTAATATAAATTAAGACACACTCAGCTATAAATAAAATTACTTTATATAAATATTATTCACACCCAGCTATTTTTCTTTGCGCCTGCTTATTCTGACGATTTCCATACTGATAAAATAGCTGTTACTTTCCTATCTCATATTGGCCACTGTACTAGAAAAGGACAACTAATTGCCACCAAAAGAATTTCGCCTTTGTTATACTGAAGGTACATGCCAACACATACAAAAAAAGTATGAAGAAAAATTGCATATAACGGTACTAAAGGAGAGCTTTTCACAGATAAAAATGGAAAACGAATTACAGTTGGAAAATTTGATTGTAAGTGTTAAGAAACTAAAAATAAAAATTTAGTTGAGCGGAGCTCTAGTAAGAATACAAAAAATATATATAAAAATAATTTTAATTAATAAAAATTTAAAAAAAAATATAAAATCTATATAAAAGAATAAAATTAAATTGAAAATTGATAAAATAATATAAAAAAAGCAGTTTAAAGTTAAAATAAAAGAAAATATTTGCCAACAACCTACACAGTTAGCATATCGATAGAAAATTATGGAATTTTTAATTCACATACTTATATTTTTTCACTATGACGTTTAAGTGAAAATTTTCATTGATTTTTTTTTTTCGCTACTGCTGCCAGCAAAATGAAATTTAAATATAAAAAAAAAAAATTGTTAATATTTCTAGAAAATTTAATATATAATATAAAACACTAAATAATATTATATAGTATATTAAATAAAAAAAGGACTTAATCATTTTTTTTTTTACCTATAAAATTATTAAAAAAAATTATATAAAAAGAAGAAAGCTTTAAAAAAATTTTATTTTAAACAAGTTTTAAACAAAATTTTGCAAAATGTGTTTAAAAAAAAATTATATAAAAAATTTAGAAAATTTTTTATAAAATTTTTTTTCTTTCAGCAGAATTCCAGTATATGTATAAAACTTTTACGGCGAGTATAATATAGAAAAATAAAAGTACGAAAGCTTTTTGCTTCTCTACTGTTTAAAGGACTCTCTCGCCTGTGTGTGCGCTTTGGGTCTTTAGATAACACAAAAAACCACTAGAAAACAACAGCAACAACAACAACAATTCAAAATTGACTTCATTGAATGAAAATATTACAACAAAGACACAAAAAAAAAAAGAGCAACGTCAACAAAACCTTTAATAGAGAACAATATTTAACAACGAAGTGTATAATATACTCTGTCTCTCTTTCTCAATCTATATATTTACCGTTATATTGACTACCACCACCCTACACTACTCAAATACAAACTCTAAACAATTATCAGTCACTCAGTCAGCGAACAACTAGCGAGAGCAGCAAGCAGCATATTTTATCTTTAGCAACGTTTATACGTATTTGTCATTGTCATCGTCGTCATAGTTGTTTCAACGAAGAACAACAACTACAACAACAACAAAAAGTTAAAAGAAAAATTGGCCAACTTTAGCTAGTATCGGAATATAGTATCAGCAGGATAAAGTATCCCCCAAAAAAAATCCTTTCATTTGAGGAATAACAGCAGTTTTTCAAATACCTCCCCAATCTATCCTTCACACACAAACACACACATTCAATCTCATTCTCTCGTTTTAAGTCAACTCTAAAGAATAAAAAACAACAAAAATTAACATGTAAGTAAAAATATTGATTTTTCCGTTTTTTTTTTTTTTTTTTCTCTCTTCTCCTCTCTACTGAATTTTGAACTTATTATAAATCTGCACTTGTATACAATTAATTCATTTCAGTTTTATTAATTTTTTTCAATGAAACTTTTAATTTACATATTTTTTTCCTTTAAGTTATGAGTGTTTTAAAGAAAATTCCCAAATTTAGGAAAAATCACATTACACACATGTAAATTGTGCAAAATTATTCGCGTTTTGTTTTTTCTCCCACGAATTTTATGGTGAAATTTTGAAATTGTGTATGTCAAGCGAAGAAGGTCTTAACATCCAATTTGATTTATGATGTTGTGAAATTGCAATAAAAAATTATGTAAAAAGCATGACTTTTTTTCTCACACTAATTTTGATTAAAAGTGAGAAAAATATTTTTTAACAAAATATTTTGGTAAAGTGCTCTAAAACAACCCTGACCCAGGATTTGTAAAATTGATACAATAATACTTTTCAATCTTCATAAGTACAGTGGTACGTACACCAATGACCCATTTTGCAAAATTTTAAATGTATTTTCTTACTGAAATAATAATCTAAAATTGTACTTCTGAGACAAAATTGAGAAGACTACCTACCGACTTCGGTCAACTTTATACTAAACTTCAGAAGAAAAACACATTTTTTATATTCTTTCATATTGTTAAGAAACCTGGAAGAGATTGCAACCAAAACAGCAGTACCCACCTACCCAAACAAACTTGATCATAATGGGTCCATCACACGGAAAATAACGTCACAGTGGTCACTTTAATAAAAAAAACTCTGTTTTTGAATCACATTAGTAATTTCAACGTTTGTATATAGAAAATGAGAAAAACTGGCAACGCCATTCTTTTAAAAATCTCTATATTATGAACATTTTCGTAAATGACGCTCTATATTTACCGCCATTATACCTACGATCACCTGCAGCTGTTAATTAATTCGAAAACACCTCATGTCCGACATGTAAAATTTTATTACAATATGTCATATAGTTCCTTAGATACCGAATTATTTCCAAAAAATAATTTCTAAACCACTGTTAATGCGTACATTATTATTCTTAGAAAGAATGGAACCAGTATAGAACTAGTCCCTGACTATATGAAGAGCACTTACACACAATTTTATGTTCTAGAAACTATTTTCAAAATTTATAAAAATATTTGATCCACCAAATATTCTTCGAAATAACTTACTCATGTAATTCTTCTTCATCACGAAATTATATGGTTCCCAAAATAGTGTGATAACTCCGAAAACCCAAAAATCGAACCAGAACTGAACTAGAACTGAACTAGAACTGATCTAGAACTGATCTAGAATTGAACTAGAACTGAACTAGAACTGAACTAGAACTGAACTAGAACTGAACTAGAACTGAACTAGAACTGAACTAGAACTGAACTAGAACTGAACTAGCACTGAACTAGAACTGAACTAGAACTGAACTAGAACTGAACTAGAACTGAACTAGAACTGAACTCGAACTGAACTAGAACTGAACTCGAACTGAACTCGAACTGAACTAGAACTGAACTAGAACTGAACTAGAACTGAACTAGAACAGAACTAGAACTGAACTAGAACTGAACTAGAACTGAACTAGAACTGAACTAGAACTGAACTAGAACTGAACTAGAACTGAACTAGAACTGAACTAGAACTGAACTAGAACTGAACTTGAACTGAACTCGAACTGAACTCGAACTGAACTAGAACTGAACTAGAACTGAACTAGAACAGAACTAGAACTGAACTAGAACTGAACTAGAACTGAACTAGAACTGAACTAGAACTGAACTAGAACTGAACTAGAACTGAACTAGAACTGAACTAGAACTGAACTAGAATTGAACTAGAACTGAACTAGAACTGAACTAGAACTGAACTAGAACTGAACTCGAACTGAACTAGAACTGAACTAGAACTGAACTCGAACTGAACTCGAACTGAACTAGAACTGAACTGAACTGAACTAGAACTGAACTCGAACTGAACTAGAACTGAACTAGAACTGAACTAGAACTGAACTAGAACTGAACTAGAACTGAACTAGAACTGAACTCGAACTGAACTCGAACTGAACTAGAACTGAACTAGAACTGAACTGAACTAGAACTGAACTAGAACTGAACTAGAACTGAACTAGAACTGAACTAGAACTGAACTAGAACTGAACTAGAACTGAACTAGAACTGAACTAGAACTGAACTAGAACTGAACTAGAACTGAACTAGAACTTAACTAGAACTGAACTAGAACTGAACTAGAACTAGAACTGAACTAGAACTGAACTAGAACTGAACTGAACTGAACTGAACTAGAACTGAACTCGAAGTGAACTAGAACTGAACTAGAACTGAACTAGAACTTTACTAGAACTGAACTAGAACTGAACTCGAACTGAACTCGAACTGAACTTGAACTAGAATTGGTAATTTCCATAGATTGATCCAAACATTTTCTCGCATTTTGAACATCGGTAGTGTTCTCATCGTACCAATACAATCTGAGTCCATTATTCTCAAATAACTTATTTAAATCTCTCTATTATTGTCATTTATTAGTCCCTTGCTCAGAAGTCAAATAATTCGGGGAATCATTCATGAATAAGATTTTTAAAATGAAATGCAATCTAGATATTGATATTCAATGCTATCTGATTCCATTATGTTTCTACAGATCGCAAAAGCCTCTCTAATTTAAAACAAACTATCTCTGTATGGGTATCAATATAGACCAGCGATTCTATTTACTTCTAATGATATTCTTCCAGAATTCGGTAATTCATCCGAACAATATATTTAGAGCATACTGAACTATGTTTTTAACAAGAAATGCAATCATGAAGTTTCTAAAAAGCGAAATTAACACAAATTGATTAGATTAAATCATGAAGTATTTATGAAGAAGCCTTTTACATCCTTATTAAAATCAATTACAAAGTAAATGGTCTCTATTTTCATCCATTATTTGATTTGATTTGGAACACTACTATTATCCAGGCAGTTCATTATTAGGAATACCTGACTCAAAGATGTCAAACAATCTCCAAAGACTTCTAACTTTACTTCCTATAATAAGACCTTAAATGAGGCTTGACTAACCGACATCAGCATTAAGCTTCAGCTAAAGTTTTTATCTCATTCTCATGTGCCATTATCTATACGGCCAGTAAGACATTCTTGGACCTGCCATGAAGTTTAGATAGACATATGTATGCATAATGTCCTGGCGAACTTGTTTATAGTATTAAGTGTGAATTTCACGTTCTAGAATCTAGATTACATATCAAAACTTTTTCAGTTAATTTTGTGTTTGAGACCTTCAATATCGGCTAGGTTAGTTTAAAAGAGATGCGTGATATTGATGGTTTTAAAAGTTAGCCCGTTTTTCTTGAACCATTTGAATCTTAGCTAAAGCATATTCTTTCCGACATTGCTACTTCGAATATGAGAATATAGTTCAACTTAATTGTGTTCGAACCTATTGGTCGTCTGAACATGAAAATAAATTCAAAACTGACCCAAACATTCTCAGTACATAGCAGACTCAAACTTTCTTAAATGTGATTCTTAGCTCTATTTTAAATAACTTTTGAAATCTTGCAATTGCAATATTTTGAGGAAGAAATAACATTGATCAGAACTCAATCATAGGACACTGAGGCTTTTATGCTGAAATATAAACCGTTGAAGTTTTTACGGATTTAAGTGAACTAAAGTTTTTATTTTGAATCTTAGTACATCGGTGTCAGATTTACGTGAAAGTGTTAAACTAGGTCTATTATAGAATTATCATTTTCAGCATCGGTTCATCACGAGATTATTTGCATTACTTTGTCACTTTTAAGAAAAATATCGGATACATCACTATTTTTTTCTGGGAATTTCAATGTTTTGCACATTTACTTAAGACACTTCTTATTTTACAATGGACTTGGTTGGTTATTACACCAATTGAAAGTGACAGTAAATGGAACTTTGTTAAAAAATCGTGTTGCGGTTGAAAAGAGAAAAAGTTTCTAATAAATTTGGTTCTATTTTTTCCTCTAGGTCCCTAGCTAACTTAAATATAGTTTTATCGTTTTAGAATTTCACAACATGACGTTTAAAACAAATTATCAATTTGCCGTGAGAACGGATCAATTCCCAATAGTTATCAGAGCGTGAATAAAGAAATTAAAATTCTCATGAGAACATTCGCGATAATTGTGAGTTAAGACCTTTTTCACCTGATGACAAACCCCCTATAATCAAACAAATTCACACACACACATACACACAAACACTCCTCCTTTCTACAGGACATGCTCAATACTTAAGATGACCAGTGTTTTTATTTTTACTTTTATATAAATATTTTTTAGGGGATTTAATTGTAATTTATGGTAAATTATAACAAAAGAAAATTGATTTTTAATTATGATTCATTTATTGGTTTTACGCAAATGTTTTTTTTAAATATTATTTATAAGGAAATATAGTTTTTCTTTTATTATTTGGCAAAAAAAAAGTAATATTTACACATCTACACAAACATATATACAAGAAAATGCATTTACACATATACACACTTTAATAGTATGTGTGTATACTAATACAAGGAGGATACTATTTTATTTTTTTGTTTAATTCATAAAGTTATTAATGGTTTATTTTAGGTTTATTGAATATAATATCCCTACAACATTTCTGTAATAAACCATCAATAACTTTATCAATCATTTATGAATATGAAGATACAAAATATCTAATAATTTTATTTCACAATTATTTATCAAGTGCGTAGTAGTTTTTATAAAAAAAATATTTGGCTATCATTAATCTTATATACCCACCATCAAAGCCTGTGACGTAAATTTAAGTTCAATTTCAGCCCATATTATAGGACTGACTTCATGGTGTCTTATTTAAAAGTAGAGTATGACTAAATATCGGTAGTAATATAAAAACTGGATGGTTTTT